GCGGGCCGGATCCGGCCCGTTTGTCTTTTTAATCCGGCCCGCCGATGGTTGGTCCACAATTAAGGTTCGATGTGAATGATTGCATTCATTTCATTTGGACTTGTAATGACAGGCATTTCAACGCCAGGTGGCGCAGTTACTTGAAGTTGCAGAGCACAGGGAGGGACTGGGAGACGGAGAGAGAGGGAGAGAGATAGAGGGAGAAATCTTATCTACCACCTGCGGAACTCTGTCAAACGGAAATTCCCGAACCCGGTAAAAAAAAAAACCTTATGCATTAATTTTTCTACTACTACATTACATTAACGATCGATTCATAACAACGGAAGTTCGGGTACCCGGAAGCCATATGTAAGCCCGCAGTAGCTCCAACTCAAGCAACTCCCGCTCGATACGACAGAATAAATGTGTCCGCGCCACTGTTTTTTTATCATTGGATCCAAAACGGTGACATGTAAGTGACTCTTTAGTGCAGTGAGTTTTACTGGAATTGCTAAAGTTTTTAATTTCATTCATTTACATTTACGTCGTGTAAATCATGGCATCCAAACGAAGAGGAACTGTAATAACCGCAGAAGGGAAAGTGAAATGTATCCGATGAAGCGAAGCGGGTTACAAAGTGCAAAACAGTAAGGAGACGCTTGGAGTCGGAAAGACTCAAATCTACGAGACTTTGGAAAAAACAAGGAAGCGATTCTTGCTCAGTCCGAGTCTGGCAATTTCCATGCTCAGAGTGAATCGCTTGCGGCTCGACGGACAGTCGAGTAAATGAACCTTTCCTGGAATGGTTTGACTGTTATCGTGCTAAAAACTTGACGCAAACTGGACCGCTAATAAGAGAGGAGGTGAGTCCCATAGCGCTAACTATGAGCATCGAAGACTTCGAAGCGTCTTGTGGCTGACTTCAAAAGTTCATTGCACGACATCAGCTGAGCAACGCTGTCTTTGGTGGTGATCGAGGGGAGGTCAAGTTAGAGACAGTGAGTGAGTGGAAAGAAAAGCTTCCAGGTTCCTTACTCGTCTCATTTTGTTGCAAATAGTCCTAACTTAGTTATATTTTGTTCATATACCTGTACTGCAGTGGTGGCCAATCCGCGGCTCGCAAGCCGCATGCGGCTCTTTGGCTGGTTCAATGCGGCTCCCGGGCTCTCACACGACAAGCGTCGAAAACGCCTCGGCAGTGGCGATGCCATTCAAACATGGCGCTAACTTCACAGAACGTACTCCGTCAGCCTATCATCAATCCCGTTACTTGATTGACATAGAGGGCAACCAATCAGATGACCGCATCACCCGCTCATGCGCAAACAACGGCGCTAAGCGCTAAGCTAGTCAGCAAATTAGCTCTGATTTTAAAGCAGGGGTGCCCAATACGTCGATCAGAATCGACCGGGAGCTAGCGAACTGGTCCCAAGTCAACCGCAAGGGGTGGGAGGAGGAAATGGGTGGGGAAAAAAAAAGATTTGTTTGTTTGTATTTTTAGCTTTCATTCATTTTCGGCCCGTTCCGACTGTTGCTCATCGTAGTGTGCACTGGTGGGCACCCGTGGTGAGTGTGTGTGTGCGAGCTCGCATGTGTGTGTGCGTGTGTGTGTGTATGCTTGCACGTGCGCGATCGGGTCGTTCGTGAGAAGTTGGTCGCTTCAAAAGACGATCTTTGGACATAAAAGTGTGTGTGTGT